CAATATGGACCATTAAAAGAACAAAAACTTTTTTATCCTCTTTAAACTTGAAATTGAACTGATCATGGGAAACGGTATATGGGGTGCCTAACCCCCATGGATACAAGTTTTTGTAGATGGAGTATCTAGGCAGTTTGTTTTCTCCGTTTTAGAGAAACTAAAAAATAAAATTTCCAGCGGAACCATTTATAGTCCATATTGCCCACGGAGTGTTAAAATTGGCAAAAGATCCCAAATGTTTCACAAATCTGATCAATTCGCCAAAAAACTATTTCTCTTACCGAAAAGCTGGTTGAAGAATGATAAAAAAATCTTGATCGTAAACTATATACTTCATAAACCACTTCTCCCGTGTCAGAAGTCTATTCGAGTCTTTCAAATTGTCCAGTGTGTAAACTTAAATCCACTTATGTGCAACGTGAGCGTTATACGCTGTATAGAATGTTACAGAAAAAGAGAAAAAAATCGGTCAATCAATCGCAGCACACAAAGCAGACGCAATACAGCATACAAGTACGCGCGAGTGTAACGAGCCCGACGAATAAAGAATTTAATTGGAAACTCAATTCCGATTATGACACTCCAAGTCCTTTGCAGGCGCGTAACTGTGATAAGAATTTAATTGTAGCGCAGAATCCAGAACATTGTTTAAAGCGTTGTTTAGCACGCGTAGGCAAGGCTTTTTCATTGAAATACCGAATGACGTTTCAAAATTCAAATCGTTTGGCACTCGGAAAAAATGTAAAAGAGTAATGAATATTTAAAATTGTTCGATGATTATTCTTAATTTCACGTCGAAACGCTAGTGAAACCACAGAATTGCTATTAAATTTTGTTACATAAACAACAATTTTTTATTTGCTCTGTTCTGATGCTTAAGCAACGCTCAATTTTTATTCCTTTTCAGAAACATAACTTTCCACTGTGACTAAAAGAATTGGTTCTTCTAAAATATAAAAATTTATTTGTGTTGGTTCTTATGTTATTATTGGCAGAGAAAATTAGATTATTCATATAGAACGTTATTTTCGATAAATCTTTAATCAGCACTACAGCTATCAAAGCTATAAGAAATCATTAAGTCATTGTAAATAAAATAATACTTACCCCTATCAAAAACACGCACATACAAATATTTCCATTAATTTTCGTTTTCCTTAATAAATGGCTCAGTTTACAAGATATAAATAGTTGGAGAATGTAACAAATTAATATGAAAAATACACTGAAAACACAATTTCCGAAACTTGCTGATTAATCTTGGAAGAGAATCATACTACAGTTATTTTCATTGGGAGACAATGATAAAGACATCTCTTGGATCATGTTTAAGAACCAACGATCGATATCAATAATTTTAATAGTCAGTCACATTTTTAATCAATCTCCCGTTAACAATGTGAACAAACAATGAATTTTCAGCGGATCTGAAGCGTGACTTCAAAACCATGCAATAATTCGTTTTACTTCCTACGAATTGAAGAAATTCTCGTAGACGAGAACCATTAGGACATTACATTCAGAATAAGATCAGGCTTCCGGTTTCCGGAGAATCTAGAACCCGTGCCCCGCCTGGTCAGTTTCTGGTTAGCAAGACCAGTAGCTCCACTGTTTGCATGGGAACTAACTTTCGTGAAATTGCGAACGAGCCCGTGGCCACGAGCGCTCGACGAAGGGATGAGTCTACGTCGTACCACCTGACGGGTCCGGTCCTCTCCGCGAAACAAAACCCCTTTTCACAATTAACCCCCGCCTCCGGAGTGAAGAATGTTTAATATCAGATTTCATACGGGATACATGGCAGGTAGACGGTTTGTCGGAGGTGACAGGGGAAAGAGGGAAAGAGACAGAGACAGAGACAGAGAAAGAGGGAGATGCACGCCAAGGCCACGTAAAAGCCGATATCAAACGCGACGACAGTTTTGTTTAGCCGGGAATAATCCTGCCAGGAATCCACGGAACACCGCGCGCGCGGCGGAGTCCGGAAGACTTCATCGACGACTCCGCGCGGACTTCCGCACGCTTACGAGTCGAGCGTCTTTTTTCTCTGGCATCTTCCTCGTTGCTCGCCGATAATTTCGATGAACGGCCACCCGGTGACTAGATCGCGCTCGAACGTCTGGCGAGATTTTATTTAATGGCATAGACAGAACGAGGATTCATGAACATCCTGGGAGAGAGATATTGTTCTGGTGAAACTTGAAAAAGCGGAAAAATTCATTTAATAGCTAATTAACGGTCGTCTGAAGATGCTGAGGGCTCTGTTGTTCCCCTTGGAGTATTTTCTTCTTTGATTTTTGCTAGATTAAAATTAATTAATTAAATTAAAAATTAATATTTTTCAATGGAAACTGTTTTTATCCGTGTGTAGAAATTTTACTGTAGTTATAACATTACAAATTGCATGAGATTTTGGACGTGTTGTAAAAATCTTTTTTAGAAAACTCCTCTGGAACTGATACTTTTATTATTATTATAGGTGCTATACTATGGGTGAATTTAAATTGCGAAAATTAAATTTTATTTATCTTAAAATGCAGAAAAATCAATATTTTTTGTTTTTAAGTAAAACTTAATCTTCAAAAAAGTTTCATTATAAAAAGGTGCTGAAGTTGCTGGTTCTCGTATCGATAAATGTTTGCAATGTAAAAGTTTAATTGCTTATTGCAAATGTGCGTAGAATGAAAATATTCGACAAAGTATCGTCCAGAGACGTATACACGGTAAAGTTATAAAAACTTAAAAAATTTGTGTACTTAAACGCTAATTCAGATTTTCTTAAATGAGATGCAAGAGGTGCGGACTTATTTATGTGGGTTAGTTCTTGAAATGCAAAACTGACAGGAGATGCATCTTTAACTTTAAAAATGTTTTTCTTCGAAGTACATTTTTGAAAACTGTGTACGAGATTGCTCGTATTCTAATCTTATCCAGTCTTTTTGAGATTTTGCGGTTTTGTTAATTACATTATCATTTCAGTATTAAAGACTAATCTTTCTTGCTTATTTTTGAGAATATAAACAACAACGCGAAGCTTTATGACGAAATTCAATGTTAAATCTTAAAACATTTATTATTCGGTCTCTTTCCAAAAATGTTGGAATATGGGTTCGTCCATGCCTGAAAGATGTATTTTTAGTTTTTCATCAGTTGACTTTTATAATAAAAACATATATATGTAGAAATGAAAAGGTTTTTTAACTATATATAACAGTTCCTACCATTTGAATTACAATTAAATAAACGAGGTAATATCACATCAATCGCATGTTTACTATGCTTGTAATTATTAAATAAAAATGACAGATACATTTGTAGCCGACATACTGTACTCTAACCCTTCATTTAAAGTGAACAATTATTCTTTTAAATTCTATTAAAGTCAAGGAAGAAATGTGGTAAATGCTTGTAAAAATAATAATGTTCAAAATTGTTTCAATTTTAATATTATATTCATTCGTTTATTTTAAATTGTAGTATTGTATTAAATGAAACAAAGCGATGTACACTAGAAAAGATAGAATCATATAAAAATGTTCTTTCCTCGGTCTTGCTTCTCGCCGACACCTTACAGAAAATGGTGTCTACTTAAATAAAATGACGGTAATTTTTTACCAACGAAAAGAAAATCTGTATTTTTTTCGGTGCGGTTTGTTACGAAATTGGGTTTCTGAATTTTAGGTTCTTTATAGGTGAGGGAGATGATATCTTATTGTTAGTTAGAGTCAATAAATATGATCTACATACTTATCTTAGTTCGGTTTTAATACAGATTTGAATCCTACTACTAAATTTACCATAAAAAAACATGAACATCCAGAATCAGTAAATATAAAAATAAGTAACCCTGTTATGCAAAAATATAAATCTGTATGTTTAAAAAATTTACATAGGTATTACCTTCGTTCGTGTTTAATGAAATTCGAAATTTTATTATCATAAAATTACTATAAAAAA